TTTTTACAATGTATTCATTTTCTTTTCAGTTAGGCTTATAATAATGTTGAACCATTTTAATTCTTTTTATTTTTAATTTTGTGAAGGGTATCATAATATTCTACACATGCTTAGCATTCTTATAATTAGAAATTGTTAGTACAATACTCAGCCACTAAAAGATTAAATCTTTTTTTTTTCTTTGCCACTAAAAGATTTACTAATATACTACTGGCAGTACCATGTTGGAGTGTTGGGAATGCAGTATGCAATTTACAGGGAAGATTAATATAATCTTCTTTTGGGGTGCTCGTGTTTATGCCCAGGTACAATAATCTCAAAGCATTTCACTTTATTGATATTAGTAACTGCTCCTAATTCTTGGAAATAATATGCTTTCAGGATTGGATTAAAGAATCAAAGCAAGGTTACAAGCAATTTGACCTGGCAAGCCAATGTACCCACAGGTTAAACATTCATACTTTTCTCCTCATTTCTATTTACTTTTGTTAATTAATTATCACTGATTAATATTTAGATCTTGGAATGTAAAATTGATGCAGGTTCAAGACCTACAATGAAGACTCTGCATGGTTTGTCACTGAAAAATATATTTTTGATTGTGACTTTGTAACCTTACTTGTAAAACCCCAATTACTGTGATTTTTTTCACTAGAGGTTTAATGGCGATGCGTCACCATTGGGCCGTTAAGGATGACATAAGTGGAGATCAATCAAATATGCTGTTGATTAGGGCGACAACAACATGAAATAAGTAATCGATATTTATAATTTTAAGGCTGAATTTAATCAGCATTATTAACCTTTCTTTTGTTATATGAGCTTGTCATTTTATCTTGACAAATTAATTACTTATTTAACATTTAAAATTCTCATTTTTTATTTTTTTTACTTTTGAGTCTAGGATAGAAAATATAAAATACCAGCGTCAAAAACATATGTATTGTTATGTCATGTATCTTACTAAAATTCGCTTGATCAGGCACAGGCCATTGGGAAGGCAACAAACGAATTTATTCAATGGGAGTTGAAGATGGACCATGTATTTGCCTACATTTTCCATCTCTTGAATGAGTATGCCAAACGCTCTTGAGATTCAATTGATGCTTACGAATGCATTTGAACTCTGCCTAAGAGAATATGGTTTGTCAGGACAAAGGATTAAAGAAGAAACTTATGATGGAATCCCTGGTGAAGAGTTATTCAGACATTTTTAGTTTAGAAATGAAAGGGCAAAAAAAATGAAGAGAAGGGGAGGGAGTGGAATAAATGCCCATTTCCCAAACAGGGAATCATGATTCTTACTTTAGACTTTAAAGGGATCATCTCCCTCAGGAACTGTTCGTTTCCCTTGTTATATTTGCTCGATTAAATATGGCAAGGAAATAAACTTAATTTACGGTAAAAAGGAAATGCTATTGGGACAAACTATTTTGTTTTACTTTTTTGTACAACTTGGTATGTCATTAAAATGATCGATTTTTTAATTCATATAACACCTGTAATATTAAATGCATCTACTCATTTAATGACATGTAGAAGTTGTATAAAAAGGTGAGACAAAAAGGTTATCCTTATAGCATCATCCTATGGTAAAAATATATAGGGGATGAAAATGAGCGGTGCATTCCATTCCATTTTGGTCCTACCAAACGTGACTTTAGCATGTTGGCCAAAAAAGGAAGGTGACTTTAGCATAAATTTTATTCCATACAAAAGAACTTACACCCAACAAGTTGGACCATTAACAAATTTTATTTTTCTTATTGAACAAAACATGAACTTAAAAAATGTAAAGATTTTAGGGCAGATTCATATCATATGGAAATGGAAGGAATTTCATTGTCATTCAAAATATACCAAAAATCCATATTGGCAAGGAGAATTGACAGGCAATATGATTAGAAGATCTTAGGCAAGCAAAATGGTGCCTCGGATACAAGATCCTTGTTTCATCTACCTGCAATTTGCAAGCAGCAGTAAAGGCACCTCAATTATTCTAAGTTTTGCAGCATTCTAGATAATATTATATACTCCTACCACGGAACAATTGAATAGACAAGCAAAATGGTTATCTCACAACTAGCTACTTACAAACAGAAAATTGGCAGTTCTTTTTGTTTGTTGGTACATGGTAAGAGTCATATCTCATCATATAAACAGAGATGCTCAATCCAAATTCCAGAACATGCAACTTTCCCCACTGTTTTTCTTTTTTTTTTTTTTTTGAAAAATTAGATACTTTTGCACAAAGGTTTTTTTTTTAATCACAAATGAGTAATCGTCTAAATTGGTAGTTCTAACTTTTAACTGCCACATCCATTCACTGAGAGCAAACATCTACTACGCTCAAATTCAATTTCTATTTGTAAAGACATGGACAGAGCTACAAGAGCAGGCCAAGACATTTACCATTTTGTTGATTTACATTTTGCAGCTTTACCATCATCCAAGTAGGGCCTGAATGTCCTCATGACTACCTCATATGTTGGCCTCTTGTAGTCCACTGCCTATCACAATTTCTCTTATATAATATCTTAAAAGTTTTTCATATAATGCAAATCAAAGAAAATTAATCATAGTGAAGGCTTGGCAGATTATCTATTCTATAACTTTTTCAGGGTTTGCCCATTTCCACTCAACGAATTCCGGATCTGCTTCCCTAGTTGCCAAGTTGATCTCACTTTCATCTTTTGTTAATCGCATAAAAAACTTGTCAATTTGTTCCAATGTCTTGTTAGGCCATAAACTAGATATAAACAGAATAAACTTATACATCTTCATTAGTATTTTAGTGAAATTAGACAACAAAAATGAGTAACTATTTATTGTTTCAAAAAGCCAAGATTAAGGTTCATCAGCATTTCAAAGATGAACCTGATAATTATAGAACATAAGTTGTTCAGAAGTTAAAAACTATATGGTATTCATTAGAATCAAGTCTTTCATCCTTCTTAAGTGCTTTAATAATAACTCATCCATCAATTTGGAGTGTTTGAGCTTTAGCATTAGAACAAGGGTATAATTTTGGTTCTTAGCAGAAAAAGTTTGGTTTCTGCTTCCTAAGAGATACTAGCATCAGCTATAAACCATTACAAGAATAAACATGCCGACAAAGGCATGCATTTATCAATAAGATAATGAAAGATCTAAAAAGCTTGTATTAAAATGCAGATTGATATGGTATTTTGAAGCTCATTAATAATCCATCAAGGGACTTGTATCAAAACTAAAGAACTATTCTCGAGTTTAACGAAAAAGCTTTTTATACCCCTAACGACAGACGCACACATGAAGCCTGCCTGCTTTTAATTTCTAGTTATAATCTCCATAACTGGTAATGATTCTTGGCCCTCTATGTCTCTAGTTATAGCTGTCAAATGATCTACACAAGCTACTACTCTCTTAATAGGGTGAATGCAAATATAAACAAAAGCAAATCTAGGCAACAAATGTACTTCTACAGAAAAAGAAAAGAAGGCAAGAAGGTATAAACCACTTCTGTGCCTTCCCTTGCCATTCACCTCCCCAGAGGCGATTCGATTTGGACTTAATAGCTGGAGGAAAATCATATGTCAACCAGTTAGGAACCCGCCAAACAACGGGAATAATTAGATGTATGACAGCATTTGGGGAAAGAAAGAAGGCACTTGCTGGGAACAGGGAGAATGAAGGTAATTTATACCAAAACCTGCTTGTGCTTGCATATCTTTTATTATTAAATGGATTGTTTCTTTTCCTCGACTTTCATCAAGGTTATTCTAGGCGGCACAGCTCTTTGTTTCATACATATGAAACACAGGACATAAAGGGTAGAAATGTAACGTGGTAGTCCTTTTCTTGGCCTCATATTTTCTTTGTTTTATCTTCCATGATCTCCCAAAGATTGAATTTGATGATATAATCATTTTAGGAATAGTTGGATATCTTCATGAGCAATAAATCAACCATATGATCCATCAAATGCTTGTATCACATAACTTGGGGGAATTTGATAAATTTGAAAGAATCACAGACACTAAATGTAAATAGCAGTAAAATGCCAGTGCCCCTACGAAAGTGGTAGTCGCAATTCTTGAAAAAATATGAGACAACTGTAGAAAAATGGCAGAAATTCTTCTACAAACCTCAGCAATAATCTCAGCTGATACTACACCAGTTTCTTCTCGCAATTCCCTAATGGCTGCAGACTTAGGCTCTTCCCCATCCTCAATACCACCCTGATTGTTAGGCAGCCCAAAAAATAAAAGATGATATAAATACACAACAAAGACCATTAATAAGACCGTTTTCGACCCTAGCTAGAAGCTAAATATAATTATTCATTTTCCGAATATCAATCCTCAATGAAGAATAATATTGCCCGTGTGTATTGCTATTAACAGTGGGGTATATATACAATAAGTGTTTAGAGTAAAAATACATAATTGTCCTTATATGCTAGTACATAATAGTTATCTATCATCCCCCTTCACTTTGTGCAAGAGGGGACCGAACGCATAAATTGTCACAAAGCAGCTGAAAGTGCAAGATAGGAAGAGCCGTAGTAAGAATATCTGCCCATTGATGACTAGAAGAAACATGGTGCAAAGTAACCAACTGAGAGACAACACACTCTCAAACAAAATGTAAATCAATCTCAATGTGCTTTATGCGATGATGTTGAACAGGATTGGTAGCCATGTAGAAAGCATTGACATTATCACAATAAACAACAATGGGAGAAGAAAGGGCAAAGCTAAGTTCAGAAAGTAACTGACAAATCCAAGAGGCTTTAGCAACAACATTAGCAAGAGCACGATATTCAGCTTTAGCACTAGATCAAAAAACTATAGACTGCTTTTTGGAAGACCAAGATACAAGAGAATTACCAAGAAATAAACAAAAACCAAACGTCAAGTGATGAGTATCCAAACAACCATCCCAATCAGCATCAGTAAAAACATGAAGAGAGAAAGAGATCAAACTCGATTAAGCTGAAGACCAAAGTGTAGAGTACCTTTCAAATAGTGAAGAATCTGCTTAATAGCCTAAAAATGATAAACAGTTGGGTCATGCATATACTGAGAAACCTACTGAACAGAAAAAGAGATGTCAGGACGTGTGAAAGTAATGTACTGTAAGGCACCAACAAGTCGCCGATAGGTGGAAAGATCAGAGTGACGTGGACCATCATTAACAACTAACTTTTTCTTGCTATCAAGTGGAGTATTAACAGCCTTGCAATCTAACATACTATTGTGATCCAATAACTCAAGAATATATTTTGATTGATGCAAAAATAAACCATCAAAGTTGAAGCTAACAAAAATACCCAAGAAATAATTCAAGGTCCCTAAATCAGTCATTAAAAACTCTTGCTTGACCAGAGAAATAATAGTAGATAATAAAGCAGAACTAGAAGCAGTCAAGCTAATGTCATCCACATATAATAACAAAATTGCAATAGATTCACGAGTCCGAAGGATGAACATAGAGGAATTTGTACAGGCTTGAAAAAAACCATGACAGGTCAAGAAAGTAGCAAACCTCTAAAACCAAGCACAAGGAGCCTATTTGAGACCACAAAGAGCTTTTTGTAACTTGCAAACATAATCCAGATGAGAAGCATCAGTGAAACCAAGAGGTTGAGACATATAAATAAGCTTTGAAAGTTCACCATTTAGAAATGCATTATTGACATCAAGTTGATGAATAGGCCAATTATAGGAAACAGCAAGTGTCAAAACAATATGAATAGTAACAGGCTTTACCACAAGACTAAAGGCATCACCATAATCAACACCAGGTTGCTAAGTAAACCCCTGAGCAACCAGACGAGATTTGTAACGCTCTATAGAACCATCAAATTTTTGCTTAATACAATACACCCATTTAAAGCCAACAACATTAACATGAGGAGGACAAGGAACAAAAATCCAAGTACGATTGTGTAACAAAGCAAAATACTCCTCATTCATAGCTTTACGCCATTCAGAATGCTTAACAACTTGAGCAAAGGTTTTAGGTTCCGAAAGAGAGACATCAATAGAAACCATAGATGGCAAGAGACTCACCTTTCTAGATCCATCTTGAGCACGGGTGATCATAGGATGCCGATGAATGGGCCTGGATGTGGGAGCAACAGATTGGAGTGAGGACAAGGTCGCAAGAGTTAGGGGAGCAAGATTTGTGGATGGTTCGATGGGTGAAATAGCAATAGAGTTGGATGAGGCAGCAGAAGTGTGGGAGACCTAGGGTGAGGTGGATTTGGAGGATGTAGAAGACTGGTTTGGGGTTAAGGAGGGACACAGTTTAGTGGAGGTGGGATTAGGAAAGGCACCTAGCACACCAGCAAAAGATGAAGATGGAACTTATGAGGGCTGCACAATAGAGTTAGAGGGCTGCACAATAGAGTTAGCAACAATAGATAAATCTGAAGGCATAAAGGCAGTATCTATAATATCAAACGAAGCTCTAAAAATAGGCACACTAGAAGAGCTATTTGCAGGCAACCAGAAGAGTGAGGAAAACTCACTTCATCAAAAGTGACAATGTCGAGAAATAATAATTTTGTGAGTTGCTAGATCAAGACACCGATAGCCTTTATGATGTGGTGAATAACCTAGAAAGATACAAAGAGCTGACCGAGGTGCCAATTTATGCGAAACTGTGGCAGCTAAATTGGGATAGCAAGCACACCCCCAAAAACCCGCAAATGATCATAAGAAGGCAACCTATTATAAAGAACCTCATGAGGTGTCTTAAAATGTAACTTGGAAGTAGGTAAAATATTAAGGAGGTGAATAGCAACATGTAATGCTTCCACCCAAAATTTTCCAAGTAATTTTGCTCAAAAAAGAAGAGAACGAAGCATATTAGCAATTGTTCTATTCATACGCTCGGCTTTCCCATTTTGTTGGGGAGTCAAAGGACAAGAAGAACGCAATTGAATGCCATGTTTTTGAAAATATAAAGAAAATTGCATATTATCAAATTCCTTGCCATTATCACATTGGAGAGCCTGAATTTGAGCACCAAATTGAGTAGAGACATAAGCAGAAAATTGAAGAAAATGAGAGAAAACTTCAGATTTAGATTGTAAGGGATACACCCACAAATAATGACTATAATCATCCAAAAATAAAAGATAATATTTAAAACCTTTAAAAGAATGTAATGGAGAGGTCCATACATTAGAACGAACTAATTGAAAAGGTTTCAAAGTAACAGATGAAGAATCTTGAAATGGCAGACGAATATGTTTGCCTAATTGACAAGCATGACATCAACTAAAAGAGCTAGTCACTTTATTTGCAGGAAGAAAATCACGACAAACTAACTAAGCAAAAGACGAGGAACCCAGATGACTAAAACATCAATGCCAAAGATGAGATGAGACTAACACCTAAAAAGATTCTGGAAGAGAACTTGATTGCCTAGAAAAGGTATAAAGACCACTTTTGCTATTGCAACGAAGGAGGGTGTTCTTCGTCTGGAAGTCCTTAACAAAAAAACCAAATTTGTCAAACTCAACAGAACAATTATTATCTTTAGTAAACTGACGAATAGAAACTAAATTTTTCATAATAGAAGGACAAACATGAATATTATTTAACTAGAAAGAGGAAGCACGAGATGCAAGAGAGTGAGAAGCAACATGAGAAACATGCAAAAGTTGACCATTTCCAACTTGAACAAAAGTAGGACCAGTATAAGGAATATAGGAAGATAAAGAACTAGAGGTTTGAGAAACATGAATAGACGCACCCGTGTCAAAGACCCAATTTGGATTTACATGCTGAACTGGAGAATTATCAACCATGAAAGTTTGAGGTTGAATTGGAGAGAACCAAACTAACTTGGGAATTGAAAGACAATCATGAGCTTGATGATTGGCTTGAAGACACCATTGGCAAACCAGAGGTGATGGTGGTGTCGATAGCAAAGGTGGAAAGGAGGATCTAGCAGAACAGAGATAACTTGCAGCATCCCATGATGGCCGAGAGAAACTAGAAAAACCAGAATTGTGAAGATGATATTGTTGAGGTCAAGAAGCAAAACTTGAAGAACTAGTGTGATATCTAGAAAAACCAGAATAATTGCCACCACGAGCACCAGAAAAACGACCCCCTCGGACTATATCCAAACCTACCACCTCGAGGAATGCCTCGGTTGGAAGAAAAATGAGCAAAACCTTGGAAATCCTGCCAAGATTGCCTAGTATGAGTAGCTACCAGAAGCTATTGAGAGGAAATAATGATAGTAGCACCCATTTGAGCATGCTCATGTTTAAGATTAGCTTCTTCAACTAAGAACAGGGATCGAAGCTGCAAAAAAGAAGGAAATGGTTGCCTCTGTGGGATGGTTCACTTGGAAACACTGTACTCTTGATCAAGACTAGCCAAAACTTGCAAAATAAGATCTTTTATCAGAGACTGGACTATTACTGTTGAAAAGGAGATTAGAAAGTACCTTAGCATGCTCCAAATAATCCATCATTGACAGCTCATATTGTTTTTGAAGGCCACGGAATTCCTGCTTGAGCATTAAATCACAGGCTTCAAGTTGACTATGATAAGAAACTTCAATAGCATCCCAAGCAGATTTTGCGGTTAAAGATTTCCTTGGTGTAATTATCAATTTCAGAACTTCACATGAAATGGTTGCTTGTATCCATGACAGAACCTGATAATCAATCTGTTGCCACTCTTCATAGGCCAGATCTATTGAGGGAGGACATGGTTTAGATCCATCTATATGACCATAAACACTTTTGCTGCGAAGAATGGGAATTATCAATTCTTTCCAAAGCAAATAGTTCTCATGAGTCAAAGTTTCAGGGACAAAATGCTTATTATTGGAGATGGAGAAAACTACATGGGAAAAAATAGTAGATGTAGAGGCTATAGTATGAGTAGTAGGTGAAGTTGGAGGTGAAGATGCAAAGGAGGTAACAGACGAAGGGGAAGCCATGGAAAAGAGAAAGACGAAGGAAGTAGACGGTGACAGAAGTGTGAGAAAAGAAAACCTAGATAATATTTGGTGCCCTAATTCAATGCTTTGATACCATGAAGAATAATATTGGTTGTGTGCATTGCTATTAACGGTGGGTCATCTATACAATAAGAGTTTAGAGTAAAAATACATAATTGCCTTTATATGCTAGTACATAATAGTTATCTATCACTCAAGAACATTTAAAATATAAAAAAATTTGTCCCCAGAAACTCTAAAAACAACAATTAATCCATATTAATAAATAATTTCTTGAAAATAAATACATAGAAGCATGAATAGACAGATCAAACCCATATTCACCATATTGATATTGCATAGTAAATTGTCAGAAACTGAAACTAAACCAAATGCAAACCTTTCAAAAAAGTATTTTAGCTTTTCTAAAAGCTGAATTCAGCATCTAGGAAGTTCTTTTTAAAAAAAAATTCTAAGAGAAGTTTTTCATGCAAAATTTCCTAAATTTGATAAATACTATCAATTTCTAATTTTTTTTTTTTTAAATATCATCATCATATCATATATAAAAATTCCACTTCTGCAAACACACTCTCATGTATAAAAAGAGCTACGATCTTTAATGTCTATGTTGAAAACATGGAAAACATAGGATGAAAGCAGAAGCAGAGTTATTAGTTGAGGCATCTGCCATGCTTCGAGAACATTCAACCTAGAAGCCACAAAAACCTGTAAATAAATAAAGATTAGATCTTCTACTATTAACAAAATCACAGAAAATTGAGAGAAAAATTCATAATAGACTAATCTTTTATGTTTAAAATGATGTTTTTACATATTGAATCATTTCTTAAGTATACTTGTCGATATAGTTGCTTAACTTAAGAAGATAGGGACAGTCAAATGCAATAAAACATTAAGATGGGAAGTTGATATGATATAAGGGATTGACATGGGTATTTTTCTTCATCTTATTTCAAAATTTCTCTTTCTTAGCTATTCATGGTTATTATAGCTTTAAGAAGAGGAGATGATTGTGAATTAAGATTTGCAAGGAATCAACATGTACTAACTTTTTTTTTTTTAATGAGAACATGTACTAATTTTAAGTAGGCTAAATTCAACAATCTTGCCTTTTAAAGTCAAATATAAAATGTTTGAGGTATGCAGATTTTCTTTTTTTGATTCTGCAACTTTTTCACATTTTAGTTTAAAGTATGAGTCTTCTTCTTCCTCCACACCACATTGCCTTAACCAATTAGTTGGATGTTGTGAGTTTGTAATATCCCAAAATTTTGTGATATTTTAACATTTGAGTAAGGACCTTGGTGATAGAAAATATTATTGAGGGGCTTACTAGCAAAATTTTCAAAAGTTGAGGGACTTAAAAGAAAGGAAATGAGATAAGGATCAACTGCTTTATCTTTTTCTTTTTTTCTTTCTTTTCTTCCTCATCAGCCACGTGTTTCTGCTTCTGCTTCTCTTCTTCTTCTCCCGACAAGCCCCCATAGCCACCGATGCACTCCTCTTGAGAAAATTGGTGGCAAAGCTTGAATTTCTCTTCCTTTCTTGTTCAATCACAAGAATTGGGGCTTAGAATTTTCTCTCCCAACCCAGAAATTCCAGATCTGTTCTGCTCTTTCTTCCCCTGTCCTCGAGCTGCTCTTGCCGGTGGAGAGCTTCTCGGTTTTTCTGGTAAGGGAACAACTAGGAAATCATCCCTTTAGCCTTAATTCAAGTTGGGTTACTCTAATTCCTGTTTTGGTTCTTGAATTTGGGTTAATTCCGTGAGCTTCCCCTGCACTTGCCGCCAGCTTCTCCCCCGCCAGGTTCGGTTCTGTAGCTGGGAAATTGTGGGTAAGTTGACAACCTCCCTTAAGTTCGAATTTTATCCAATTGGTTGTTGCCTTTGCTGAATTTGGTCCTTGTTGTGGCTGCTCGGGTTGTCCGAATTTTGCTAGAAAATGGGGGAATTCCGGTAGCATTTAGCAGCATTTAAATGTGTTTTTGTGCTTGGTTTATGTAGGAATTTTGTTAATTAGGCTGTTGTGATGTTTTGGAGAGAAAATCCCGTGTGTGTGAGTTGTGGTTTGCCAAAGCCATACTCTCCATGTGCTGCCCGTGAGAAATGGGGAAATTTTGGTAGCTTAAGCTATGTTTTTAAGCTTGGTTTAAGTGTAAATTAGCTTGAATTGGGTTGTTGTGATTTTAGAGAAAAATCCCGTGAGATTGGTTATTGTTTTGCCAATTTTAGAAGTTGAAGTACTGTTTACTGGCACTATTCACGGGCACTGTTCACACACCGAGGGTCAACAATTAACAGGGATTTAAATGTTTAGTTTGTAATATAAGAACAAATTTGGAGATGTTTGGTCATGTGGAGATTGATAGAAATAGCACCGTGATTAGGGGTAATGCTAATGATGATTTCACTTTGAATTTGTGGTAGTATGGTATTAACTTTGGAATATTGTGATTATGTTTTGATCGTTCTGTCACCGTAGCACTTGGGTTAAGCTTTCTGTTCTGTGCGAGTTAAGTAAGTAAATTATGGTAATGCCCTTCGATTTCAAAGCATGTTTTAAATTGTTTTTGAGATGGTGGCAAGGTTCAAATTGATTTTAAATTGATTTTATCAGCATCTGAGTGTGATTAAACTGAAATGAAAGTTTTGATGATTTTTATGAAAATTATTATTTTCTGGAATTGTGCATGATTGGAATGAAAATGAGAATTTTATTGTTTTTCTGGAGTTGAGCATGCCTACATGAAATTTTCAGTTTATACATGGAATTGACTGAACTGCTTTGATGAACTGAGAATTTTGTAAATTCTAAGTTTTCTGTTATATCCATGTTCACATGGAAGTTGTCCGGTTTATTTTTGAAATTTGAGATTGATTGTGAATTTCGACTTTTTTTGTAAATCCTACATAGTTTTGTCTCTGATATGGTCATGTTTACTGTGCCCGCTAGTGGGAGGCTTATAAACGCTAGCACATGTCGACATGTTTACTGATATGACCGGTCCATTCTGTAATCCTGCCAATTGGATAATACATTGATAATTACTAACGCCTGCCAGTGGGAGTTGTTAAACACTGGTACCATTACTGACACCTACCAGTGGAAGTTTGTTAAACACTGGTACTTCTATAACCCTGCCAATGGGGTTAAACATTGGTTATTACTGACCCCTGCCAGTGGGAGTTGTTAAACGCTGGTACTACTACTGTGCCTGCCAGTGGGAGGTTTATAAACGCTGGCCATGACCTATAGATGAGACTACTACTGAATTTTTCTTCTGCATTAACGGTTTGTCATTGAACACTTTATTATTGAACTGAACCTGATTTGCATTAATGGTTTATCACTGAAAGTTCTGTTATGCTTACATGGTTTATCTGGCATGCTTAAATTTTTACCAAGGGCTATCCATATATTTACTTACTGAGATATTTTATCTCATAGTTTTCCTTGTCCACCATTTCAGGAAGCGAAACCGAGGACAGGAAAACCAAGGGGAGTGACGAGGTAGAAGGCTAGCTATTCTAATTGAACATAAGTTTTAGATTTTATCATCCTTTTGTAAGGTAGATTTTGTTCTTGAGATTTTGTGATTTGAATAAGTTCCGAGCCTTGTGCACTTGTGGGACCCGTCTCACAAGTGTACAACGTCTGCCACATCCCCGGATTTGGGTTTTGGGACGCGACAGAGTTCATTTCATTTTCTTTAATTTTCTTCAAAGAATTGTATTTATCTTTTTGGCCCCTTCAATTTTTTTCTTTCTCTTCTTCATCTTCCCCTTTAATACAAAAGGGGATAATTATTTCTCATTTTCTAAATCTTTTTTCACCCTCTTAGTCTATTTCAAACTTTTGAATTTAAGACTTTTGAACTTAAAATCTCAAGCTCTTCTATAAGTAGTATAGAAGGGAATGGCAATAAAAATATGAAATGAGAGTTGTTTACTTTGGGAATATTGTCTAAGAAGTAGGATTTTCTATACAAATTGGCTACACATGTATTATGTTATCACGTACATGATGGAGACATATAATGTTATCTCATAGGTCTCTTGTAGCTTTAGTTGCATAATTTTCTTTATATTATTCCTTTTGTAGGTTGAAAATATGTTACTCATTTCATAGCTATTGTGTCGGCATCTGCACCTTCATGAGTGTGCAGGATGAAAAAGAATCAAGGTTTGGCCACAAAAATACTGCCCTCATATTTTATTTTAGTATTACTAAATATACCAACATCATCTTTCAAATGAAAAAGATCAAAATTATCTATATATTTTTCTCACTTAGATATAGTCTTTTTTAATGGTTTTATCCAATGATGGTTTGTTGGGAGAAAGGCAACACTAAGTATTTTAATCCCTATCATTTATGTGGATATTCTTTTTATTCTTGAAGTTTATGCAGTTTCTTTTGCATTGTGTGGTTTAGCTTTTAGGCCTCTTATATATTGAGAGTCCTGACATAAAGTTAAAACTAACAAATGATTAATTTTGTTTCATTTTTTGTTACAAAAATCAATTATCTATTTGGGGTTAAACTAACAAAATAGACTTCACTATTTAGCCTTGATAATGTTTGATGAGTCTCTGGTTGATATGTCTCATGCAATGTCAAAATGTGTTTTAGGAAATACTGAAGACATGGGAATTTTAAGTAAGAGATACTCAATTGAGTGATTTAATTGCATGTAATTGAAAGTTCCAAACTTTGACCATGAATATGTGAGGACTTTATTTTGGCTATTATTTTATACTCAACTAAGCCATTCTTCTTATCTCATTCTTTCATCTCTTGCCCTCCTTTTTTTTACTTTCTTTTTTTAACAAAATTGGAAAGATAGAAATCTATGCAGTCTAAAAGCCTTGCATAAAATTCTCTATTTTCTATCTGAATCTATTAATTTTTGTTTTTGTGAAACCTTAAGAACTACACCTTATGTTATGTTACTGAAAACTTTACAAACTCTAATACTTATGTGTTCATTTAAAATTGGCCTATTCAATGTTGGGCCATTCAAAGTTGGACCTAACACCATACCCGGCAATGCAGGGTTGTCCAATTAGTTTTATAATAAATGTAGCAACAATAATATACTTCATATATAACTCACTAATCATCTGGGTTACCATTGAACATCTTTTTGAATTGCACCACCTTCCATGTAATACCCACAAGGATCCAGTGTTTGATATCATCCACCCATTGAAAATAAGCATATCTCCAACTTTTCACAAAAATCAAAGTTCCCACGACTCCCCAAAATCCAGTTGCAAAGCCTAACATCACGACAATGTAAAACCACATTCTTTCAAGTGCACCTTCATCATTATCCTTGAAGTTGTCGGTTGGAGGAGGTAGCAAATCATTTGAGCATTTCTTCAAGAGTGGAGCTCCACAGAGTTGATGATTGCCAATGTAAATGGTTGGATCTTCGAGTGTTTGGAGTTGATAGCCTGTTGGAATTGGCCCTGACAAGTTGTTGTAGGACAAGTTGAGGTGGCTTAACTTGGTTAAACCTGACATGCTTTTTGGGATTGTTCCTGAAAGGCCATTTTGGGAGAAATCAAGAGATTCCAAATTCTCCATTTGTCCAATTTTCTCAGGGATCTTTCCTGAGAGATGATTCCAAGACAAATTCAAATTGTGCAAATCCTTAAGGAAAATTAGCTCGTCTGGTATGGATCCTATTAGATTGTTACTCGAAAGATCTATACTACTCTCGAGTCCCAAGGTTTTTCTTGTATACTCAAGGTATCTCCCTTTCACAACCTCCATTAAATGCGCCCAATACCAATAAATCTCACTCATGCTGTTGATCAATTTTGTTGCATTCACCATAGCTGGAAACTTTCCAAAACAAGGAGGAATCCTTCCTGTCAAATTGTTATCTGCAAGATCTAGAATTTGCAATTGAGAGAGATAGCACAGTTCCAAAGGAATATAACTAGAAACCAAGTTTTTGTGTAATCGAAGAATTTTTAAAGAGTGGTTGTGGTTGCCAATCTCACCCCTTACAATGCTTGTTAAATTTCCAGAAAATTTATTTTCACCCAAATCCAAAACCACTAAAGAAGTGAAGTTTTTCAAGGCCATATGTAGTTCACCATGGAGACTATTGTTGTTCAAGTGCAGTACGTATAAACAAGAAAGCAGCCCTATTGTACTTGGAAATAAACCCGAGAGATTGTTAGAAGATAGATCAATAAAATTGAATGATTGATCATTTCTCCAACAATTGGGAATACTTCCAGAAAACATATTGTTTGAAAGATCAAGAACTTCCAAATATCTTGAATTGCATAGCGACTTTGGAATTGAACCGTTCATGAGGTTATTTGCAAGATATAATTCCATCAACATTGGCATCATATGACTGATGTTTTCTGGAAGAGGACCTGAGATGCTAGCATTAGAGAGATCAACCATGACTATTTTCTTTTGCAATAGAGGCCACTTAGGAAATCCTGTTCCAAGTTCATTGCCAGAAAGATCTATGTACCGTAACTTAGAAAGTTGTCCGATGTTATCTAGAATACTTCCATCAAATTGATTGTTAGAAAGATATATGCTCTCTAACTTAGAATGTTGCACGATGCTATCTGGAATACTCCCACTCAATTGATTGATAGAAAGATATATGTTCTCTAACTTAGAAAGTTGCCCGATGCTATCTGGAATACTCCCACTCAATTGATTGCTAGAAAGATCTATGCTTTCTAACTTAGAAAGTTGCCCGATGCTTTCTAGAATACTCCCACTCAATTGATTGAAAGAAAGATTTATGCTCTCTAACTTAGAAAGTTGCCCGATGCTATCTGGAATACTCCCACTCAATTGATTGCTAGACAGATCTATGCTCTTTAACTTAGAGAGTTGTCCGATGCTATTTGGAATACTCCCACTCAATTGATTGCTCGAAAGATCTATGCTCTCAAACTTAGAGAGTTGTCTGATGCTATTTGGAATACTCCCATTCAATTGATTGCTCGAAAGATCTATGCTCTCAAACTTAGAGAGTTGTCCGATGCTATATGGAATACTCCCACTCAATTGATTGTTAGAAAGATCTATGCTTTCTAACTTAGAGAGTTGTCCGATGCTATCTGGAATACTCCCACTCAATTGATTGCTAGAAAGATCTATGCCCTCTAACTTAGAGAGTTGCCCGATGCTATCTGGAATCCTCCCACTCAATTGATTACTAGAAAGATCTATGCCCTCTAACTTAGAGAGTTGCCCGATGCTATTTGGAATACTCCCACTCAATTGATTGCTAGAAAGATCTATGCCCTCTAACTTAGAAAGTTGCCCGATGCTATCTGGAATACTCCCACTCAATTGATTGCTAAAAAGATCTATGCTCTCTAACTTAGAAAGTTGCCCGATGCTATCTGGAATACTCCCACTCAATTGATTGCTTGAAAGATCTATGCTCTCAAACTTAGAAAGTTGCTTGATGCTATCTGAAATACTCCCACTCAATTGATTACTACAAAGATCTATGCTCTTTAACTTAGAAAGTTGCCCGATGCTATCTGAAATACTTCCACTCAATTGATTGGCATAAAGAGAAAGAAATATCAAGGAAGTCATATTTTGGAGAAATATAGGTATTGGACCTTGGAAAAAGTTTAGTGAAAGATCTAAGTACTGAATGTTGCCAAGCAATGTAAAATTAAGGGGATGGTTGTGAGATGGTAGGTGAGAATTTTTCAGATTACAATCTGATAGACGTAACCATGATAATGAAGAAAGCATGCCAAGTACCTGGAATAAGTTTGATGAGGCATGGCTTAGATTTACCCCACTCATATCAAGTTGTTGCAAAGAGGAGAGATGAGAAATCCACTGAACATCATCAACCTTCAATACCCCATAATTTTCGTTGGAAAGATCAAGTACATGAAGCCTCGTAAGATTACCGAGTTCACCAGGAATTCTTCCTTTAAAGTTCATAAAAGAGAGATTTAGGTACCTTAGCTGCTTCATCAAACCAAAGGAGGGTGGAATAAGGTTGTTATTGACGTCATTTCCGCTCAAGTCCAGGTGTTCCAAGTATCTCAGCTTGAGCAAGCCTGAAACAACCTCCTCTGCATCATCAATCAAATACAATTGAGATTGATCAAATATGGATCCCCTGAGTTTAAGCGAGACAACATGTCCACCATTTTTGTCACAGGCTACTCCTCTCCATTCACAATAGTCATTGCCTTTCCAAGAAGACAACATATCAGATAAATCATTGAAACAAAGTTTGAACTTCAAGAGGGCTTCCCTCTCCCCCTCTATACAGCTTAAGCTCGTGTTCCGACTGAAACAAAACTCTGCAGCTCCAAAGGACAATACAGCCACTAGAACAAGCACAGCATGGAATGTTTCCCTCATGATTATGGTTTCAATATTGTATGGAAGATGGATGTGGTTTCTAATTTTGGTTGCACATTAATATATAGTCCCATGGATAGGCAAGTTAAACACGTTTTCCAAAAGTTACACTAAAGATAAAGACTCCGAGGAAGTAATTAAAGCAGCCAATTTTTATATTTCGATCATTATCACTCGAACGCGTTCGCCAAGACTAGGATATCTTTTGTCCTCAAAGTCAATTTAATTATTGCTTTTATTTTCCTTTTGCCGCTCCATAATAGTAATACAGCTTTTACAGGTCTTGTGCTACTGTTGTGTAACGTGAAGACGGGGAAGGTTTGAAAATTGGCTTTCAATTCTTGGAGCTATCAGTGGTTCATGAAAATTCCTTCTCTTTTTACCAATCATGGAAATATTGTATGGAAGATTAGTTGATTTTATTTATTTATTTTTTTCGGATAGCCAATGATTTTTATTTTTATTTACCTTTTTTGAGATATATGATTTTTAATTTTGGTTGCACATAAATGTTATAACGGCAAATCTTAAGTCCCAAACTTACCCTATTTTTTAGACTTATAAGCCCTTTAACTACAGTATTTAAACGTTGAGGGAAATCCATCATTAACGGTTCCGCTAGTTTCGGTAAAAAATCTATTTACGGTAGTCAAAGAAAATGGTTAAATTATAGTTTAGTCCATTTACTTTCAAATGTCAATGAAAATTAGTTCTTTCACTTTTAACTACATTTACTTTAAAAAAAATTAAAACAAGAAATAAAAAGAAAAAATAATCCTGACAGAAGAAAAAAATACTAATTCTCAACATTGTTTCCATGTCTCAAGTGTCAATAAATCTGTTCAACGTCATATTTCCAACACATCCTAAAATCAACTTTTATAAAAAAATAATAATAATAAAATAAAATAAAATAAAAAGGCTAAAGTCGAAAAAAAATTTGAATTATTCAACTTGTTTTCTCAGAAAAAATTTATAGATCACAGTAATATAATTACTTTTCCCTAATTAAAATATTTATAAATTGTAAAATAAATGGAATTTGGGATTTAATTATTAGATAAATGAACAAAATAATTAAAAGTTATAG